CAATATGTCTCAGTTTTTCCACATTCAGTCAGTCTATGACTCCCTGTTATAACATTTTTCCAAACATTTCCATTCTTTTGCAGTAACACTGGCATCACCACACCAAACTAAAGTGGACGCTATTGAAGAAGCAGGTTATGTTGTCCCTTGCCTCACAAACCATTTACATATCTAAAGTGTTGGCTGTACTTTGGCTGTAGGATTACACCAAAAGTGTGTTAAAATAGGAGTCTGACACAGAGTACTGAAGCTGCTGGTTGACAGTATTTTGCACAATGTCCAGTATCTTTAAATATAACAACAGTCAGTATTTACTGTGTTTTCAGAGAGCTGTATTCTGGTCAGGGTGGAAAAGCCACTGAAGCAGAATTTTACATGAAGCAGGATACTCATTTAACTTGCTCCTGACAGTTGCACGTCTTAGCCTTTGCAACTGCTTCAATATTAGGTGTGCAAAGTCATCTGATGGGCCGGTTCTGACCCTTGGGTCGTATGTTTGACACCCCTGCTGTAAAGAGAGACACACCAGCTGCCTTGAGAATACAACATTTTTTAATTCTAACATCACTGTGAGAGTTTTGTCAAAGTGTTTTTGCCTGGAAAATACTTTTTTATGTCTGAAGTCAAAAAGGAGCGTGAGTTACACACCAGTCTGATTATTAGATCCAAACCACGTGAACAAAATTCAAAATACATAAAAGAGAGCTCACTAACAGTCCATCGTGTGGCTTAATTGGTTAGAGAACATTGTTATGAAAAATGAGAACACATAAGCATAAACCATCATCTTTCATTTTACAGGAACAGTTTGACATTTTGGAAAACACTCTTTCTCACTTTCTATCAGAGAGCTTTATGAAAATATCGATTCCTCTCTTGTGCCTAAAGATGAGAGTGTTATCAATCCTCTCATCTAACTCCCTGCAAGAAAGTGAATAATCCTGCTTGCATAATGTCACTATCTCTGTTCATCTGTGTTGTGCATTGTTTGCAGCAAACTCAGCTCGAACTGGTAACCGTCTGTTTCTGAGGTCAGATTGATGCCTGTCTGTCTCACTCTGGAGGACTCTCAAACCCTTTCTACAGAGTGCCTACACTGATCGTTGGTCCTGTGGACTGTCCCACATCTGCAGGAGCTGAATAGAGTCTGTGCTCAAAGTTTCAGTCTGGGAGAAATGGCTAAAATTTCTCTATAAGTTGATCTCCCTGAAGTTGACGTCTTCTCCAAAGAGTGTGTAGTTTTAGAGTGAAAATGGACACAGCCTCATCTGTTTTTCCTCTTATTAGTTTGCAACCAGATCGCCAGAAAAAATGTTGGCGTTGTACGTTTCTGCAAACCACGGACACATTACATTTGGACATTATTATGTAGCAGAAATGTTGAAACTTAATGTTTCTGTATGTTGCAACAACGCTGTGGTTAATGTGTGGTTAGGTTTATGCATATAAAACATTTGGTTATAGTGAGGAAAGGATCGTGTTTGGCTTAAAATATCAGCAACAGGTCCCTTAAAAACACCCCTATATGGTGTCTGAAAAGCTGCTGGAAAAACAGCTGGAAAACCAATGACTACATATAAACATGGATGATGCGCCTCCACTTCTACCCATGGTATGAAAATGACAACTAGGTGTAGCTGCAGCTGGGGCAATCGGAAGTGGAAATCCCAATGAAATTGCTGAGTTAGTGATTAGCTAGCTACGAAGCATTACATTAAAAGAGATGTGGTTAAGGTTAGGATGAGCATAATGGAAAGGTGACATCTTGTCACTTATAAAGTGAATCACGTCTTCATGTATTATGAATTATAAATGGATTATTGCTACATTGGTCTCATTTATTCACCACAGTGTAGCGTTGGAGGAGGGTTCAGTTAGCTGTCGCGTTGGTGGGTTTGTCTTGTACTCATAGTGGCGCGGTTTGTAGGAGCGGGTCATGTACACTACAAACAGAATGTGTCTGCAGCTATAACGTGTCTTGAAAATGAAGTCAAAATATCCTGGATACGGCTGCCGCCATTTTGCACCGGTGACGTCATTTGGAGTCTGACCATTTGCGAGCAGTGTCTTTGAGTGTCAAACATGTCAAGCAGCCTTTTTATAACTAATTAAAGCCAAACTTATCAGAAAAGCGAACACCCGAACAGCACCGTGAAGAGAACTACCTAAAATTACAGAAAAAATGTATTTGACGTGTGCTTTTTTACCTATACTGCAGCCAGCCACCAGGGGGAGATCAAGTTGGTTTTGCTTCACTTTCGGGGAGCTGTTGTCGTTGATTTTGGACAGTCTATAGCTAAAACACAACAGGTTTTGTTATTTTCTCCAGGTACTCCAGCTTCCTCCCACAGTCCAAAGACATGCAGGTTAATTGGTGACTCTAAATTGTCCGTAGGTGTGAATGTCAGCATGAATGGTTGTCTGTCTCTATGTGTCAGCCCTGTGATAGTCTGGTGACCTGTCCAGGATGTACCCCACCTCTTGCCCAATGTCAGCTGGGACAGGCTCCAGCCTCCCGCGACCTCCAACAGGATAAGCATTTACGGAAAATGAATGAAGATATAAAACGTACAAATGCAACGTATCCATGGTTTGTAGAAATGTACAATGCCAACATTTCTTTCTGTCCACTGGGCTATAGTTTGTCTGGTCATCATCAGTTGCAGCGCTGCTGTATAAGGCTCTAATGAAACTGAGGCCTTACAGTGGTTCAGAGTGACCCGGGTCCCTTTAGCCTAGTTTTACCCAAGACGCACATCCACAGGGAGGATCGCAGCACGCCAGTGACAAAGCAACAACAACAAAAAAACAAACGCTGGCACTGGAGTCTCAGTCTGTCTTTCCGAGACGCTTCACTTGGCAACCCAGAGACAGTCATGTGGTCATGTAGTCTGGTGGTCTAAGAATCATCCTGTGAGAATCACTGTAAGGATGTTTACTGGTGGATATAAAGTACACCACCCTGATGGAGGTTTGTTCTGTTCACTGACACTGTTGTTTCCAGATTCTGCAAACAGATGGACCAGACTGACGACTGTTAAACAGATCAGACGTACGTATTTGGGATACAGTAAGAATATTAATCTATTCTTCTGGACTGAAGTGATGATCAGTGACACTGGTGTTGTGTAAAGTGGTGTAATATCTCCCTCTTCAGGCTGAAAACAACCACTGACCCTCACAGCAGGGATTTTTCCTCTGCCACAGCCTAATTTAATTATTACAGATTGTCCACAAACACGCATGGACTCGGAGGAGTTGCAGCACGTCCTGGCTGTTGTATTGTTTCAGCTGGTTGAGCCGAAGAGGGAGAGGAACAATAGAGGCCAATAACAATACTGGAGCTGTCAGGACTGTGAGGGAGGTGAGGTCGGTGAGGTGATGCAGTAAACAGGCCAGCCCTGTTCCCTCCCATGGCCTCCTGGCTTCACTGAGCACAGAAGAAGTGAAAGCTGGATGGTAGATTTCACAGAGTCAAAATGAGTCACTGATACTGTTTGGAAATGGTGATTAGCTTTTGGCCATTAAGAAGGAACTGAATTAATACAAGATAAAATCAAAAATAAGTATTGAAATACCAGATTATTTTTTAATGCTGATTTTTATTTTCAAGCTTTATAGTTTACAGACAAATTAGAAAAAAACACCCGAAAAGCAACACACACTCACTCCAACGTTTGGTCATGGATTTGTTCCCCTCTCAATTTGGCATCACCACATCGAGGCACAGGAGAGGAAAGTTTCTGTCATGTGAATTTTAGATAGTGTAAGTATGCAGGGAGATGCAGATTTGAATGCTTAAAGTTGTCACATTTCACTTGCTATGTTGCAACACTGTGTGTGCATGTCATTGATTTTGTGCTCCACTTTTTGGCTGCTAACAGAGGAACATGTCAGGTTTAATGTTCTGTGACCGCTCTCATAATGAGGAGCTGAAATTAGTGCAGCACTTATCCTCATCCATCATGCCTCTCACACACATCCGCCTCAGAGGGACAATCAACTGATCAGCAGTAATGTCTCCCACTGGACTGTCAGTGTTTATGTGTTTGATTCTGGAGATGTAATTTTTCTCACAGCTCAGTCAGGCTGTTGGTCTACTGTCCTGTGAACACAACATCAGCAATGCTCCGACTGTGTGTGGTCCTGACCCTGTGCATCATTTACACCGCCTGGAACTCAGGTTTGATTTTTTTTCCCCCCATTACAGTACACATTGTATTCTGAGCATGTAAACACAAAATATTTTCAGTTTAAGCCACATTTAATAATTAATCTGACCTGTGCTTTTCCAGAAGAGGGACGTCATCCTATTTCATCCCTTTAGCTTGTAGTTTAGACAAGTTTATTCGACATTATGAGAAGACGCACATCAAAGAAAGCACATTTCTGTATTTCAAGGATAAGACGCACACAAAAAAGCTCAAGACTTTGAAATGTGCAAGCTCTGCAGCTTAGTGAAGATAGAGGTCCAGCTAATAGGAAGTAAGACATAAGCATTTCAGGTTTGTGGTTTGAAACATTAGACATTTTTCACAGAAGACATTTTGACATGTAGGGGGGTTCACACACTCTGGATACATGCATCCTTTTCACCTTAACTTTCTATGCAGCCCTACTTTGGATTTATTCAGAGTCACTGTGAAGTGGTTGCCTGTGTTTCCATATATTCATGAGATAGGTTTTAAAAAAATACAAGGTGGTTTTAGGGGTTAAAAGATGAGACTTTACTGTCATTAATCTACATTCAGTGCAGTACATAGAGGAATAAATTAGAACAAACCAATGAAGATGAGGTGCAGACAGCAAGATATAAAAATAGATACAGAGCAATATACATAATAAGAGAAAAATATAACTACAAGTAGTGTAAATAAATGTAAACAAAAGTAGGAAGGAAATTGTGTCTGTTGTTTTTGATGGATTTAAAATACAGTATGTTATAGCTACAAACAGTAGGTGGCGGTAATGTGACACTTACCGGATGCAATCCGCCGAAGAAGAAGGAAACCCGGAAGTAGGATGTGTTTTCGTTTTTGTTGCGGCGGGAAATCCTGTTGAGGAAGTAAACAAACTAACGTTACGTGGTAGGTTTTAAATTAATTGTCTAATCTAAGCAGTGTTTTGTCTGATTATAACATCAGCTAACTGTGCAGCATCTCCCTTCAAACCCGACATTAAACAGGTTACATTAAAGGCTAAACATGCTAACCTGACTTAGCTTCAACGGAAACCCTTACCCAGCTGTTCAAGAGAGAAAAACCCGACTAAAGGTGGTAGTTTACCTCTTTAAAGTCCAGTAATGTTATTATAGATCGGTTTATTGCGGTTAGGTTGCCCTCAAACGTGTTGACAGTGTTTCCCTATTACAGTTATTGGATTATTAGTTTGCAATAAGTCAGTGAGCTGTACCAACTGACAAAGCTTTATACTGTTCACTGTTTCAGGTGTGAAACAGCCAGGGGTCACCCCTGTGTTCCCAGGGCCCTGTGTGTCTTTGTAGGAACTAACATTGTCAGAGATTGGTCAGGGTTAGCTTTGCAATTTGTGGTATTAGTAATAGCAGAAAAGGAGATGAACATTTGAAATGCAGTTTGAACAGTCGAAATTCGTTCAGCCACTGTAAAGACACCAAAATATAAATTCAAGAAACCTGTCATGCCCAAAAATTTGATTGTGTATGCTTAAAGGAGTCTAATATTATAGGTAGGCTGTAAGAGATAGGTGGATGATTTCAACATATTGACCCAGGGACACATACATTAAACATTTGATGGGAGGAAACATCTCTAAAACATTACACCCTTTTTAAAGGGCTCCTTAATGAGTCAAATTAATAGGATATTGTGCCAGGGATCATAGGACCCCAGGAACACACATACACTTATTGATATAAATGGTTTGGATCATAATACAAACACTTCTCAGAATAAGGCTGTACAATTCAAGAGCATCACAAACGGCATCTCCCAAAATGACAAGATTAAAACAGTTAAACAAAAACTAAACATAACCATGGATGTAGGATTTATTGTAATGATGTTGTATCACACTGCATTAACAGCTACCTTGAGCTGTATCAAGTTAATAAACTGGCAATGAAGGGCTGCAACTGGGGGACACACTGCTTTCTGGAGCACAAAGTTGGCTTTGTTTTTTCAAGTAATCTATAAATCATGTCTGTAAAAAAACTTCAACAATTATCAGATAAGTTGTTGATTAATTTGCTTTTTATTGATTAACCAGCTAGGCTAGTAGCTAGGAGATACAGCATAAGATGGTTTTACTGAGACAATATGTTACATGCAAGTTTTCCAGACTCAGCTCAGTGAAGATATATATTTTAATCTTACTATCCTAAGTACTAGCATTAACACTGTAGCATAATGCACATTTTTATTTTATTTTAAAGATTTTCATTACTGCATATTTATATTTCATACTCCTATTCTTATTTCTTATAATTCTCTATTCTTTACATCGGAGTGACTGTAACGAAACACACTTTCCTCTCGGGGCATCAATAAGGTTTTTCTGAAATAAACAAACACCACCTTTATTATTTGACATATTAAGTGCTGTCTTCTCTGTAATTCTCCCTCTTCCTCCAGGTGAGACATTTCGACGATGCCGTCCAAACAGCAGGATGCGATCAAATCTGACATCTCCCCAGTTCTGTTCATGACCGTCGAAGGTGAACCCATGTCTTTCTTCTTGCGGCCGGGTCCTGCTAAACGCAAGCTCCAGCCGCTCATCATGTCTGGAGGAGGGATGTTGTCCAAAGTACAGCAGCCAGGGGCGATCCTGCTGATCGACCCAGAGGAGAGAGCCTCTATACCTGAAACTGCTGCTCACTGGTGCGTGCTGCTGGACTGGGACGCTTATAGAAAGTGTTCACTATATACTATAGCTGTTGTTTGTGCACTGCCAGTATTCTATGGCTCATTGAAAATAATGCCCACCCAGACAGTAAAACATTTTGCTGTGTAAGTGGGGGCTTTAATACTGTTACTGGAATAATGTTTTATATAACGTGTCTTATTATGTGAGGTTTTATTCCTTCTTTTTAATGACAAGGCGCTTTTAAGTTTTAGCACAGTGAGCTGAAGCATTGTCGTGTGTCCTGTATGTATATGATGAGCTAGATAATTTAATTAAGAGCAAAGTGTTACTTTGTAACTAACTTTGAAAAATATATTTAAAGCACAGAAATAAAGCTGCTGTTTGTTTTCCCCTCAGGTACGTGTCCACGCAGTACATTTACGACTGTATTGAGAAGGATGAGCAGCTGAATTTAGAGGACTACAGGTTAAATCCTGGTGCGGCTCCGAGACAGTCTGCTCGACTCAACAAAACCAAAGAGCCGTCTCCTGGACTCTCAGGAGGTATGATGTAAAGACTGAGATAAATTTTTTGTCAAGCATCAGAATTAAATCATAAGAAAAACACTGGTTTTGTATGTTTTAACATTTAGTATCAAATTGGGAATTTATGCTACTCTGATTATTTGTTTTAAATTTACTGATATACTTGCTGTCATCCTTTCATTATAACCAGGCAGGGTTCCCTACACCACTGAAGATGATGTTGCCATTTTGAGTTACGTTAGCAAGCACCTGAAAGAGACTGGGGGAAACCGGCTCTGGCAAGAGATGGAGAAGCAGCAGGTGACAAGTCACAGCTGGCAGTCGATGAAATACCGTTACAGAGTACAACTGGCAAAGAGACAGTCTGAGGTGATGGAGGCGGAAACAACTGAGGACGACACCAAGGCAGCAGCAGAGGGAGAGACCAAGGTAATTCACCTGGAAGGGATTTTGTCATATGTTTGTTTGTATCACAAGTTTCATTCATAAGTTACACAAGACGCACAGGTTACAGTGTAACTATACAATGGTCAAATCCAGTTCAGTGCAGCAGTCCTGCATTAAATGTAAAGCATTTGTGGAGCTTACCCCACACATGTAAATGCATGTGAGCAAAATATGAGACATCTTTCAATATAATATAGTTCTCACAGCCAGCGATCAGCATGTCCAAGTGATACCAGGGAAACAGTGGTGTTATGTAGCATTTGTGGGACATGCCGTCTTCTGCAGGTCATCCAGGTTTGTCTGAATGAGGGCAAGATTTCCCTATACAGTAAAAAAAAAAAAACAAGTCCAGATTCGTACACGCTTGCATCCACATGTTCATGCATTCACACACACACAACCTCACAAACATTCATCACTAGTCCAATGATACCTTCCTACAACAACTGGTTCATGAGTTATGAAAGGGGGCTGCCAAATAATATAACATAACATTGTGTTTTTTCCAATTTTACGACACAGTGCAATAGCTGCTGAAAAATTTGGAGAGCTTCAAAATAACCAAAGCATTGTGGGTGACCCCTCATACCCCAGACACTAACTTCTAGAGTCACTTCCCTCCAGCAGGAGGCTGCGGTCTATCAGGACCAAAACCTCACACCCGTATGAGTTTCTTTTCATCCGTAGCTGGCCTCATCAACAAGGACTCTTAATTGCTATTATATCTTATTATTATCTGTCTTTATACGTTAGTTAATGCAGATATTCACACTGTGACATCCCCTGATGAATATTTTTGCACATCCTGCACAAAACTGTATATCTCTCTCATTCTAAAACAGTTATATTGTACATATTTGTTATATTTTTTATATTATCTTTTCATATTTATTGTATTTTTTTCTATTCTATATTATGGTCTTGACTTTTGTATTACTTTGCTTTCATAAATGTTAATTGTATGCACCAAACACCACAGCAAATTCCTTGTCAGTGAAAACCTACCTTGCAATAAATCTTATTTTATTGCTGGCTGATGTCACCGAGGCTGCAGGGGAGAGTGTATTTTTTGATACGACCACTGGGTGGAACCAAATTAAGAAATACATTCAAATAAATAAATTGTACAAACTGTAACTATATCTTTATCTTAGGATCCCCTTTCGCACCAACATTAGAATTGGTTATTCTTAGTGTGGTCCACAAATACACAATAGCCACATAAACAGAACAAATAACTCATCTCACTGAATTAACAATAAAGTATGGAAGAGAGGCAAGATTATTATCCTTTAAACAAACATTGAGCCAAACACAAAATTATGAATCAATCACAATTCCTCAAGAATTCATAGCAAATTAGATTTTTCTTCTTCATATAAATAAACAGCAATTCCTAATAAATATAATAATATAATATAATTCTGGTCTGAATGAGTTTAAATGATATATTCATCCGTCCTGTGCTTTCATGCATTTAATACCAAGGACACAGGGTTTTAATGCATTAACATATGTTGATTACTACTGTTGCTACTTTCTATCAAAGTGAAAATTCAGCTTTGAAATACTAGATTTCTCACAAAGGTACAGCTCTCTAGGATCTATAAAGATGTGAACCCAACATGCGACAGGTGTCACCAAGCACCTGTACTGATCGTCCTGCTTTACAAACCTGCTGGAGGGAAATCGTTACATCATGTTGAAGGTTACTGGAAAATCTGTTGAGCCTAAGACAATGATTGCACTGTTTGTTGCTCCACTCTGTTCCCTTGAGGCAGCCTCTGAAGCCTTTGTCAGCCTGCTAGCCAGACGCTTGGTATTACTTGAGAGTAAGTCTCCAGAACCTTCTTCACACACACACAGCATAGATAAGGGAAGTCCTTAACTTTGTCAAACTGGAAAGAATCAGGAGCATAATGAAGAGCTCCCTGAGGAAATGTTGCATCATGTGGGACATCTTTTTTGAGTATATACGAGAGCTGGACTTTCCAGATATTCCTGAATGACTGATCATGTGTTTTAGGGTCATTAAAATGTGATGTGGCAGGCAGTTGTTTGAACAAATGTACATATTTTTATTTTTATAACTAATTTTTTTGTTCTTCGTCTTGGTGAGGGTACTGATATGATTTGTAGTATTTGTTTTGTTTTAGTCCTGTCTTGGTTTTGTTTTGTTCTTATTTTACTTATTATTGTTTCATCACCATTGGATCAACCAAATATTGCTGTGTTTTCTATCTGTTCTATTTAAAAAGATTTCATAAACAGATTATGGTGTTAAACGAGATAAAAGAGAAATACTTCCAGACGTCTCATTCATCATTTATAGACATGAAGCCTGAAGTTTCTTCTCTGTTTGCTCCCAGGTAGAAGGAAACCAAGAGACAGATGTTGAAAAGCCCTCGAGTGCAGAAGATGCTGCTTCTCCTCCGACACATCCGGCAGCAACAGAAGCTCCTCCGACACATTTAACAGCCACAGAAGCTCCTCCGACACATTTAACAGCCACAGAAGCTCCTCCGACAAATTCAGCAGAATCAGACCTAACACAGGTAATAAACCAGAACTCACTGCTCTCAACAAACACCACAGTCAGTTTGTGATTTACTTTATTTAAATGAGCAGAACTGAACAGATTCGGTGTCTCCACAGATAGATGTCCAGTCGATACCAGCTGAAAGCACACAACCAGAAACTGTAGAAGCTCAGACATCCATTTCTCCTGAAGACAAAGTGGAACATGTGAACCCACTGACAGATGAACAACCAGCTGAGAGCGCACTAGTAGAAAATGGAGAAGCTGAAACATCCGACTCCCCCCAACCTGAGGGAACGTGTTTGGACCCACGCACAGAAGCTCAGCCCATTCCGGCTGAGAGCGCAGAAACAGATGAAACACAAACAATCATCTCTCCACAAAAAGACAGTGTGCCAGAGGACTCTCCTCCAGCTCAGCCCGAGTCCCTGTCCGACACCTCCTCTCAGGAAAAGCCCAAAGAGAAGCAGAAGGCCTCTCCCAAGCCTGAGCAGCTGCAGCGTCGATTAACACGCAGGCAACTGGTGCTCGAGGAACCATACGGCAAAAAACTCAGATCATCAGCAAATTCTCCGTCGTCATCTCCCCAGCCCTTAAAGAAAACAAAACCAGCTGTGAAGTCGCCTCTTCAAAAAGACACAGCAGAGCAGCCGCCTGCTAAGAGAGCCAGAGGAAGGAGTGTCACAGCTGCTGCGGAGAGTCAACAGGAGGAGAGTGGACATGCTGCCGTCTCTGAAACAGCACAAGCAGGTTTGTTATATCTCCATCAGAGTGGGACACAGAACTTGTAGACTAGGGACGCACTGATTTGACTTTTTCAGCACCGATTCCAATACGTGGCCTTTGGACAAGGAATTAAAGTTCAAACTTAAACCCTTTTAAATGCAGCAACAAATTGGTCAAATCTTAAAGAGGGAATAAAATGACAGACTAAACGAAACACACACAGGTGTAATCAGACATAAACATGGATTTGGATTAAATAGAGCGGCCCCTTTATCACTGATACCTGCTTTTTGAGTCAGTATTGGCCTGATATCAGTAACAGATCAGTGCATCCCTAACAAAGATAGCATCTTAATATCTTCTACAAACTTTTATAATACAGAGGTTCGAGTAAAATGTTCAGTCGGGCAGAGTGGATGATCTCCTCTCTCTCATCTTTCCACCTCCATCACTGTTTTGCAGACGTGGAGTCAAACTCAGTGCCACAGGAAGTAGAGAAGAAGAAAGAAAAGAGAAAGTTGGGGATCCTGGAGTTGGCTACGAAGGAGTTTGAGGATGAAAGTGAGGTAAGACACAGCAGAAAATATCACATTTATAAATGTGCTATGGTAAAGTAATAGATAATTCTTGTCAAAAGGTTTCAGAGTATTTGTTGATTAACTAATCAATTAATCAAGCTCTAATTGCTGTTATATTTTACTTTATCCCTTAATATAATCTGCTCAGATGTTCTCCACAAATAAAACCCTGTTTTGGGGCTGAACGCAAAGGCAGTGTCAAAGGACTGTATTATTTTCACATGGAAAAATCCTCAGTAGTTCTTTAAATATTTAAACTGTTATTGTTCCCGTCTCTCAGTCCGAGGAGGACCGAGCCTCAGATCCCCAAACTGAAACAGTGACTACTCAACCCACATCAACAGAACCTCCACCCTCCACGTCAAACAAAGCTGCAGAAGCTGCTCCCGCACAGTCCAACCCTGAACATGTACCCAGCCTTCAGGAGAACGTGCAAGAGGCCCAGGCCACCAGCAGCAACTGCCTACCAAAGACAGGCTGCCCTGATGCTGTGGCTGCTCAGCCTGCTGCCACTGAGGCTGTCAGTGCACCCTCCAAGGCCCACCTGTTCATATTCGACAGTGAATCTCAGGAGGACGACTCTCAGTCCATTATTTGTGCAAATCCTAAAGCTCCATCCAAACCACAGCCAGCAGTGAGCCAAGACGCCGCATTTTCACTGACTCAGGTCCAGTTGGAGGAGGACAAGCAGCGAATCAGAGAGCTGATGAAGCAGACAAACCAGGTGAGCACTGTGGTGCAGGAAACAGCAGCATGCTCACTTTAATTTCACTCCACAATCTTCCTACACTTGTACAGATACAGTCAGTATTTGTGGAAACGCCCACGAAACACCACATCCTTTTATGCGGAGGGGGGAAACAAAGCATTTCCTGCCATGCAGAAGAGTTGCTGTGTGGCTTACTGCACTTCAAATAAACTGAAATATCCAGAGTTAAAGGGTAAAACAATCACCAGCTGTGGTTTGGTTGGAATAAAACCTAAATTCACCCAGTTAGATGTGAAAATATGCTGGCACTATACAGGCTAAAATTACTGTTTATTTGAATGGAGTCTGGTGGGTTTGGCGATGGTGATCTTGGTGGCTCTTTCTGGTTAAACAAAAAGGATCTCATGCTTCATCTAAACAGTGTTAGATTGTTGAGCCACTGGTAAAAATGTTGTGAGCCTCCAGGGACCTGTAGTTCTTGAGGTTGCAAATCCCTGCGTGATAATGTTACAGCACATCTTCAAAACATAAGCTAATAGCACTGAGTATTGTTAGTGCTGCTATACTGCCTTAAAACATGCATGGAATTCACTAAAACATGCTAGCCTATTACGTCACAGTGTTAATGACTGTAGGTTACTGATATTATGCTTTCCCAGCATTTACAGGCTGTGAGAAAAGACTGTTTCCCCCCTCACTGACTCCGCCCTATGACCACACACAGACTGTATCTATATGTCGTTTATTCTTGGTTATATTATGTTAATAATTTCTGTCTCATTTTTGTTCCAGGACTTGATGAGTGTGACCAAAGCTCTGTTGAGGACCAGCGGAGACTTCTCTGCTGCTCTGGATCAGCTCTTGAATCCTTCCTCCATTTCAGGACCACTTTGGAATCACTGTGACGACAGTCTTTTGGTCTTAGCTGACCCCGTCGGCCGACAGCAGCTGCAAGAGAAATACGGTGAGGAGGGCGTGGCCAAAAGAATCATGTTCCTCGAGGTAGAGGGATGAAAAGAAAGACAGGTCAGTGGAAGTGGAGAGGAGGATAGCAGATCTGGACATAAGGAGTGTACTTTGTATATTTAAGATAAAACATCAAAAACATTCAAGGTTTAAACCAGATGATTTATCTTTTAAATGTTTTTATGTAGATTAAATAGAAACTATGATTTATGCCGTACTCTATACTTTTAATGTGTTTTAATATGAAATTACTATTTTATTTGTTTTTAATTACGTCAATGTTGGTTTTATGAAATAAATCTCCTTTTTGTATGTTTTGTGTTTCACCACTTATTCTGAATTAATTGCATTTAAATAGTAAAAGAATGAGACTTCAACAACACAAAATGTTCTTCTGATGACCAAGAAACCATTTTGTTTACAGAGACACTAAGTAACTACTATATATAAAATCCCTGGTTGCTTAGCCATCACCAGTTTGTCAGTCTGGATCTGGAAGTCCCACAGGATCTCACAGGTCTTTCAGTCCAGCTTCTTCCAGCCACTGGTAGGATTTCTTGATGTAGGACACTTCTCCAATCTGTCGGTGGTACATGCTGTGCAGGGGCTCGTGCTTCAATGATGGTTCATCCTCCTCTTCTGCTGCCTGAGGTATTCACTTAGCAGCTCATCTCTGGGGACTATCTCCCTGATGTATTCCTACATCTTGGTTGTTTCATCCTGGACAGTGGCTCTGAAGCTCACAAGTCCTCGGCCCCCCTCGCTACGCTTCATGTAGTCTCAGGGTGAAGGACTTGGGATGAAACCTTCCATGCATTGTGAGAAGCTTCCTTGTCTTGGCCTCTATCTCCTCCTTTGGCCAGCGTATTATACCAGTGAGGTATCTGATGTCTGGCAGGGCGTATGTGTTGATGGCACAGACCTTGTTCTTTCCGTCCTGCTGACTTTTCAGGACCTGCCTTACTCTGTGTAGGTATTTGGCTATGGCTGACTTCCTTGCGGCCTCCTCGTGGTTCCCATTTGCCTGTGGGACCCCAAGGTATTTGTAGCTGTCCTGAACATCTGCGTTGCTCCCCTCGGTTCTGATCGTCTTCCCTCTCTTTGACACCAGCTGACCTCTCTTATCTAGACGGAATGACATTCCGATGTCACTGCTGTAGATCCTGGTGAGGTATCTGTATCACTTTGACTTCAGCATAGACTGTACATATTATCAAACTACACATAAACAAAGCAAGAGTTTCTTCAAAATTATAAAAAACAATGTACAGTTTTGATCAATGAAGATTATGCACAAGGGAAGCATTTCAAAATGTGTCCTTTGCTTTTGCTTAGAGAGACAGTTCACTCCAAAATCAAGCACATATTTTTCCACTGTAGGGCTTTCTATCAGTCTAGATTGTTTTGATGCAACTTGCTGAGTGTTGGAGATATCAGCCGTAGATATCTCTCGAATATAATGTAAGTAGATGGCACAAAAAAATATATATTTATATTTGAGAAAATCAAAAGCAATGTCTCTTCCCAGAAATCATGACCCGGTTCCTCGAGATAACCGACCTACCAACCCACCAACTGTATCATTATGCCGAAGGAAGCGTGCATCTACTCATGGGTGAGTGACTCGTGTTTAAAAAAAAATTAATGGCGTCCTCTTCATCTGAACATAATATTAGCTAGCTCATTGGTGCTAGGTGAGCTAGCAGTAGATGCATGCTTCCTTCTGCACAACGATACGGCTGGAGGGTGTAGTTCAGCAGAAAGAAAATAGTTCCTACATCAAACTGCTCACAACAAGGTCTGTGGATTATCTTGAGTAACTGCATCATGGTTTCTGGAAAGAGACATTGCTGTTGAGTCTTTAAAGCCGAATATAATCTAGTTCCATTGTATTCAAGAGAAGGCAGACACTCTGCAACTCGTGAAAACAATCTCTCGTCATAAATACAAGCAAAAAAAAAAAAAAAATTCTGGTAAATGGACTGCACTTGTATAGCACTTCTCTAGTCTTCCGAGCACTCAAAGCGCTTTTTACACTACGTCACATTCACCCATTCACACAAATATTCACACACTGGTGGCTGAGGCTACCATACAAGGTGCCACCTGCTACTCAGTAACCATTCACACGCTCTCACATATCGATGGAACAGCCATCAGGAGCAATTTTGGGTTCAGTATCTTGCCCAAGGATACTTCAACATGCAGACTGGAGGAGCCGGGGATCAGACCGCTGATCTTCTGACTGGTGAACCTCTGAGCCACAGCTGCCCCACACAACACATAAAGCCAAGTCTTTAGATTAGAAGAGTTTTTACTGAGTTGAAAGAACTACCATAAAAAAAAGAAACAAATTGGCCTTATTTTTTTATCCAATCCACCATTTTATTTCATTTTCCCCCAATATCAACTGAGTACATTCATTATTTGTTTAAACAACCTGCCCCAGACCCACATGAATACACTGTATCAATAGTTTAAACAAAAATCATAACAAATCTAAGAGAGAAAAAGCAATTAAATTAAAGCAGACAAATCAACCACTTAAAATGAAACCAATAGGACGCTTCCTGTGATGCAACTGAAACACAAAGATCAGTATCCAATACAGTTCAGTAGACTTTACCCTAATATGGCCACAAGTATTGCTGCACCTTTAATCTCCCCTTCATGTTTATGAAATTAAAAATAAAAAAATAATGACATTTAACAGCAAACAGGTATGAACGATGAACATGTGAAACTGTATGTTGACACGACCATATAATGAACCATATAATCCCAGTGCCACACGATTAAAAACCAATCATATAAAACCCTTTTTAGTACGAAACGCTCACATCCACCCGCACCTAGTTTACATACATCAATGTCACATACTGGTTGGTCAGGTACGAACCCGTTTAGTAAAGCAAAAAAACATACCAAGGTCTCCAATAACAGCACACCATATATCCCTGGATTTAAACAGCTACATTTATTTTTTTTTGCTCAGCTTTTACCTGTAAGGTCTTTAGAGGATGCTTCCAATCAAGCTACATTCATTGAGGAGGGTTGCTACCGTTTGATCAACTGGATGTCGTTTGAATGTGACCTGCTTCCAGAGAAGTAAATGGAGATAATACACTTAATGTGATACCTCAAAATCAGGTAAATGTCTGCAACTCAAACACGTGTGTGGTGGTCGGCGTGAACGAACACTGAGACTGAGACTGAGAGTTAGTAGGAGTCATAGCTTGATTTACATCTTTGTCGTGTTACTGTACACTTTGCTTTGGTTGGCTGGTTAGTGTGACGGTGGTGTGGTGTGGTGTGGTGTGGTGTTGGCTACAATCTCAACACGGGTTGTTAGGCCTGCAGCTGTTTCTGGATGTCACAGCCATTCAATCAATAAATAATGATGTCAATACAAAGTACAGTACTAATAAAAAAAAAATGGCTCTTTGTTACTTATCAGGCTGGTTTTACATCAACACAAGATGATATGAAGGTTCTCTGTGAGTGAGACAGTTCCTCACTCTTGTCTTATATAGTCAATTAGTGTCTATTATGGGTGACCGTATATGGTCAATAAGTGACCAAAACGACCGGAACAAGTTTAATAATCCTGCAAAAATTAATAAAAGCAGAATATGGCAACAATAACACACTTTTTGGTTAACACAGAATGATTAAAAAACAGTGAAAAATACATTTTTATGCCACAAATACAATTAATTAATTATTAATTAAATTCATTAATGATTAGGATTGATGCAGTCTGCATTGCAGCTATTTAGTTCAAAAAAATAATGTTATATAAAAAAAAGACCCATAGCTCCTTTCCCCCCTGCACAAACATGCTGAAATAACAAAAGGCCTGCATTTTTAACATTCTGCTTCTGTAAAACTTCACTATAGAAGTAGCACTTAATCTTTGATCCAGCAAACCGTACGTACATGATAATAAAAGGAGGTGATTAAAAGATCACTTCTGTCCCCATGCGGCGATCGTTTTTCTTTTTTTTAATGCTGATCCAGTGAGACGGCACTGAAATGCGAAACCGTGAGACATCACAGTCTGTTGCAAAGAGACGTAATATGAACAAAAAGGCCTCTGGGGTATACGATCACATGCCTACAGCCCTCTATGTACAGTCTGACACTTTTAGCTCCGATTCAGATGAGACAAAGCTGAATGTGCAACATGTCTGGAACAGAGTCCCCTGCAGGACATCAGGTGAACAATTAGTCACAATTAAACTGCACATAAACAAAGCAAGAGTGTCTTCAAGGTAATAAAACAACATATGATTTTGATTAATGAAGATTATGTGAAAGGGAAGCTTTTCAAAATGTGTCCTTTGGTTTTGCTTAAAGGGACAGTTCACCCCAAAATCAACAATTTATATTCTTCCTCTTATCTGTAGCGCTGTTTATCAGTCCAGGTTGTTTGGTGTGAGTCGCTGAGCATTTGTTGATAACGGCCATAGAGATGTCTCTCCAATATAATGGAACTAGTTTGTATTCAGCTTGTGGTGCTCCAAGTGCCAAAAATTACATTTGAAAAACTCAACAGCAAAGTCTCTTTCCAGAAACCATGACCCGGTTATTTAAAATAATCCAGACCTTGTTGTGAATGTGAGCAGTTTCATTTAGGAACTATCTTCTTTCTACTGAACTACACCCAACAACCTTACCACTGCATAAAAAGAAGCAGTTTTTCAAATGTAATTTTTGGCACTTGGAGCACCACAGGTCCCATCTTGTTCCATTATATTTGAGAGAAGGCAGACATCTCTACGGCTGATATCTCAAGCACACTGGCTCAAATCAAAATAATATACATTGATAAATAGTACTACAGGTAAGAGAAAAAATATGTATTTCTGATTCTGGGGTGACCTGTCCCTACAATGGAGGGCATTGTTTGGCTTTGATAACTTTAATTTGATTTCTTATATAAAAACTATTGGATTTTAGCCATTTAAAATAACATATCTTGATCTGCACTTGATAAGAACAATGTTTGTTCTATAAAGAACATCAGAAACAGAACAATGTGCTGCCTGTTTCAGTAGCAAGACTGGCAGATGTTGATGATTACAGTCCCTTCATGAGGGGGCACTGTTCCAGTTTTTACTGTTGATGTCCATGACAAAATAAAAATAAAAATAAAAATAAAAATAAAAAAAACAAATGTCCCATACTGAGATTAATTCACGCTTAAACACACACACAAAATAAGAGTTCTCAAAATAATACATAGAAAACACCTGCTTTGCTTAAAAGGCTAATCGTATTGGTTTGAAGAGAAACGAGGAAAGGTGAAAGCCAGTCCGTAAATAAGGCCAGCTAAATTGCATAGAACTTCAGTAGTGCACTGATGCATCAAAAGGCTGTGCTCCTTTCCTCTGTCAACTTTGGCAACTCTGCCGAGTTCCCTCAGAAACCACCAGAACTCCAACACCATTTGTATCCACTCCTTGTTTTGTCTCCTTGGCAGAAGACACTTCAACCCCAAACAGTTTAATTTGGACCGCAAACAAAAACAAAACAGTACTCCAATTGAGGGGCAGAGATGTTTTTCAATCTTAACTAAACATTAAAAAGTATATGCAAAGATGGATGTGTATTTTTTTGTGAATGCTATGTGGTGGAGCACAATATGTACTATTTTCAATTCCTTTAGAATAAAGGACATTAATAGGGTAAGAATTTGTACAAAAGACTTTTCAAGCAGCTTAAAACATTCGAGAGTTTATTTTTCTCTCCCCTAAAATGATGTGAAGCTCTGGACAAGGATCCAGCGAGGCAGCAGTGAGGAAGAGAGCACAGCTCGGACTCTATTTGCACCCTTTCACCTTGTGAAGCAAAGACGCCCCCCCCCACCACTCCTAAACAACAGAAATAGTATAAAAGCACCGGTTCTGGGCCTGCATCAGTGAGCACGACCATCAGAACTTTAACAGGTCAAACAGGCCCAGATTAAGTTTGCCCCACCTCTCTAGCAGGGTGGAGCTCTATACATATTTGACCCCTGTGACAATGAGGGGTGTTTGGGAAGAGATGGGCCAAGGCCCGGCTATGCAGCCATCAACTAACAGGGACTTCAGCCTCTGCATCCTTGTCCGAGATCTCGTCCTGGATCTCATCTGTGTTCCCTGAGTCGCTGCTGGCCACGGAGCTGAAAGAGGGAGAGTTCCTGCCGCCTTTAATCATCCGCCGACACGTCTCCATCTGCACGTCCAGACCTCTCTTCATGCTGCACATCTCCATGTATTCGTGCAGATGTCTGTTCATGTCACTCTTTGCTGTGGCCAACTCCATCTAAAAGACGGGGTTTAACAAAGAGAGGATGTAAGAGACGGTACAGAACACATTTGGGACAAATATCCTTTTGGGGGGCTCAACTAATGTGAAAATAAATCAATAAATAAATACATAAAACTATTTGATTAGATAATATGAATTATTTATTTATCCACATATTGAGTCAGCTGTAACTTGAACATAAATTGTTAGAAGAGAGTGCATGAAGAGTAGTTAGTAACAAGGCAGAGAAGTCTAAACAGTTAGCTAAAAATAATGTGTAAATGCTTAAAAATTAGCAAAAATGTATATACAGTTAAAATAGTTATCTAACTAATAATAATAGTGAAATTAAGTAATGTTAGTTAGCTAACTAAAAATAAGTTCAAGTAGCTTACTAACCGTAAATAATGAGTTCAAATAGTTAGCTAACTAAAAATTATAAATATACAATTCAAATAGTTAGCCTACTAAAAATAATGAATATACAGTTCAAGTAGTTAGCTAACTAAAAATAATACGTTCAAATAATGTTACTTAGCTAACTAAAAATAAGTTCAAGTAGCTTGCTAACCAAAAATATTATGTTCAAGTAATGTTACTTAGCTTACTAAAAATAATAATTTCAAGTAGTTTGCTAACCAAAAGCAACGAGTTCAAATAGTTAGCTAAGTAAAAGTAATGGCCAAAGGGTTAACAAAATGTTATAAATACACAGTTGAAATACTTACTAACATAATTACTAGTTAGTTACCATCACTAGCAGTAGAACATACAAACTTGTCCAAACAACCCTAAGCACTGACAGTTTAATTGAATAAAAAAACACTTGTAAAATATTGTTAAACTGTATGTGAAAATATTGTATCGTACTTTTATGAACAGGTTTGGAACCTGATGGGTGGTGTTAATGAAGGGCTACCTGAGTTCACCTGATAGGGGTGAGAGGGTACATTAAAAAAAAAAAAGACTAGGAACAACTTGTTCATATATTTGCGATGCTTTCATCTTGCTTTGTGCTTGCAAGTCATTTTTCCCTCCACACACACAGATTGTCTACCTCGATCTGGCCGATGGTCTCCTGGTACTCCTGCTCTCTGGTCTTAAATAGTGACTCTGTTTCATCGATGAGGCTGCCAAGACTTCCATCCTGGGAGTCCTTAGAGAGCACAGACAGAAGTCTCATTCATCATGCATGAGTAAATGTCTGACACAGCACCTGTAGCAAAGATCTAAACGCTTCCTCGCATGAGTTTAAAAACTATTTACTGTGGAAAAGGACCATAAATGCACAAGACAGGACTCACTGGATCAGCAGCTTCACCGTTGCCGTCAGAGGCGCAGGCAGCTGTGCCAGGCATCGCGGCGATGGTCAGTGGCACGTTGTAGTTTGTGAAGTCCTCCCACAGCAACAGAGTCTCCTCGTTTTCCTCCCACGTCAGACTGTCACAGTCGTCATCAATTTCAAACGTCTCGCGCCTGGCAACAAAGGAGTTATCTGAACAATGTCTGCGTAGGACAAGGACAGAGAATGGAAAGAACAGGAGAGAAAGAGAGAGAGGAAGGACAAGTATAACCGCCACCAGACTCAGCAAAGGTCACAAGCAAAGAGGAAGATGCGCTTAGAAGGAAGACAAACAGTTGGAAGGAGGAGGTTATGGAAAACAAGTAGGCTCTGAACCTTACTATCAAAGTAAGTGATTAGTATATTCCAAAAATGCCAATGTTTGTGAGAGTAACACCATCAGTGAGCATCTAAAAAATCACAACTATGACTTTAACAAATTAATGCCCACAGTATTTATATCTGCTGGGTTTTGCTGAATCAGAGCACTGTATGTTTCTCCATATAAACACTAGAGGGAGCTGAAAGAACATTCAGTGCAGTTCCATCAAAACAACATCTGTACTGGTAACTGCAGATAATATTCAGGTTCATTCACAGCACACTTGACTTGATTCTGGTCTGTTTGTGCATTTGGTGTGTACGTGTGTTGCTTACAGCTGGTTGAGCATGCGTTTCATCTCGTCAGTGATGTTGAGCGACCCAGGGACGTCCTCCTCTGAAGGGCTGGGCTCAGCATCCATCTCTGAGCTCTCCTCGTCAGACACGGCTTTACGCTCTTTTCTCCTGCAGCAGGCCATGGCACCCTGCAAAACACACACACACAGAAATATAAACGCTCACGTTGCTTGAGGAACCTGTGCTGAAACATGAGCTTGTTTAGTTGCACCTAGTTTATCAAGTAAATATGTGCTATGCAGGAAAAATGCCGCAGTTTGATCATCATCAGCACTTTAATAGGTATTTTTCTGAATAGTGTGCATGGAGCATTTCTACTTTCAACAAATGAGACACTTTTTTATAAATACTGTCAATGTCAAAAGTCCCATTAAGGGTAGGGACATACTGTATAACAACATATACAGTAACATAATAGAAGCCACCAACTTGATTCACGCTGGACTTATACTCTGGCTTTAACCAGCAATGTCGGCGCAATTTGATAACCTTGTGTGCAGTGAAGAGTCACCACATCAGCAGTTAATTTTTCTGTGTGTGTGTATGTGTGTGTGCATGCATATGTAAGAGCATTACTGTCAGTATTCTGTATGTTTATACGTTTGTGAGCGTGTTTGCGAACATGCAGGCATTCATTCCTACTCCTTTAGAGAGGTCACAGAGTGCATGATCAGCCGGTGAAAGAGAAACTACACACATCCAGCCAGCGGCAGCTCTGATTTCATTCACAGAGTGCCGACTGCTTCGTTCACTGAAGAATTCATATTTTTGCTGCGATTACCGTCAAACAGTGAAACAACAGATAAGTACCCACCCTCTCTGGGAGCGACCTGGCCGGACTAACGTTGAACATCTTTGACATGTCCTCTGAGTTGCGCTGCTGAGCCACGTCGCACAGTTTGGCCGTGATGTCGATGCGCCTACAGATGTCCATGTCCACCCGCCTGGCTTTCTCCTGGATCTTGGTGTCCAGGTCAGACATTTGCTGCAGGGGTGAGAATTGTTGTTTGAGATGTCATGTGCAGTTCACACATTTTCTCAGACTGCACACATACAGTATTTAAACTTGATTCACTGCGGCAGGCGAAGAACTTAAACTGACTGATTTATGGGAATGAATAAACGGATGAATAAAGTGTTGGTGAATTATCTCCATACCAGTTTGTCTTTCGCACTTTTAATGGTGAATCTGATGTCCAATAATGGATGTGATGAACTATCTAAATATTTACCATTCATATCATATTTACTTCTCTGTTAGGAAGCCATTTTACATTATTGTTTGTGATGCAGTTTTTAAAATATGATTCAAATTTGCAATTTTATTCATAATTCTAATCTTGTGACATTATATGTGTTATCTGTAATTCAATTTTACTGCTAACTATCTTGGCCAGTATACTCTTATATTTCTTAGTTTAAACTAGAAAAATGCACTCAGTGGAGTGCAGATCTCCGCCAGGTTGCCGCTGGAGCTGATCACAGAGCTGTAGACAATACACGTGGCACAGCTACGCCTGGTGGAATTGTTCCTCCCGGCTTCCTTACAGTCAAGATGGCGGTGAAGATAACAAAATGTCTGTGTCTAGATGGTAACACCAGATTTGCAGTAACTCCCATGAGATTTCCTGTTCCATGTCTGAAGTGGTCTTTTGCACCGAAACCATGATATTTACCTAACCTTAACCAAGTGCTTTTTGTGCCTAAATCTAACCAAACCTTAACTACAGTGATGTAACACCATAAAATACAGCAACAAGAATAGTTTAAAGCATCTCATGAGAGTCTGGCAAATCTAGGGTCACCATGTAGCCATGACCCAACAAAACTTCTTTTTTCCATCTTGTATCGCACCTAACTTTAGTTGATCATAAAATGCCAGGTATGGAATTAATATGCAGATGCTCTGGTTCAAAATGAGACCAAACTTTTCCACAAATGTCAGTTTTTGAGTCCTAACAAAGGCCTACATGCCTTTGCTATGTGGTTTTGTGGGGGACTTGTGGCCCCTACTGGTTGGTTAAGAGGAGTTAGGAGTCAGCAGTCAGTGAGGGTATAAAACAGTCAATAAATGTGGCAGATGTGGATTATGCAAATAGGTCATGTATAATGCCTCTTTCTGCTACAGTGAAAGTTTCAACAGTAGGAGGATCTCTTGTGAGCAATCACAAGGGGGCCATCGCATCTAGAGCACAAAATACAGCATGTCTAACTGCTAAGTCTAACCTAGGAGATCCACTACTTCTATGCCACTTACCCGCCTCTGGAATCCCACATCAGGGATGGAGTCAAGCAAAGAAAATAATATGAAAAATCTACAATGTCCAAATGCCAAAAGTGAAGAGAAGCAGGATAAACAACACAGCTTTCCCCAAAAAACAACAACATCCAATTATATTTATCCCTGAGCAAGCACTAGCTGTGACTGGGCCCACTGCAGTATATTATAACTGTATATCACACTTGAGCAGACATGCCAGAGAACAATGCACTGCTGTACAGAACAGGAAGTGCTCTTGATCTACAGCTGCTATTTGAGCTGTTTTGAATGAATGTTTGTCTTGAAGGCTCTCTGGCTTTATATATTCACCCCAATAAGGAAGGAAGGAAGGGTGTGTGTTCACTTTTATTATCTTGACCTGTATGAATGACAGCCTATATCACAATGAGCAGGAAAACAAAAGCACATTCTTCAAACACACCTGTTGAAACCCTTAACGTGATTACTTTATAATGTATGGGAGTTAACGCAGCACTTTTTCAATGCTGTGAAAGCTTTGTCAGGTATGGGGAAATAATGATGACATCACCCTGAACAAATACTTACATCACTCATCAGGCTCTTGAACACCACAAGTTCAGCCTTCAGTCTGTCCACCTTCTCGCTCAGCTCATCCTGGATCTCGGCTGACTCCCGCACACTCTGAGAGGACGTCACAGTGACATGACATGACAGAAAAACAAAGATACTATTAAGGTTAGAGGAGTCGACTCAGCCACAATTAACTTGTGAAATAAAGTCTAATGACTTAATAAATCTTTATAACAAGCTTTGATAACAGGTAGATAAAAGTGACGCCTGTTGCATTCAGGTAAGGCTCCTCTAATCAAATAAAGCCTTTATACTGTTATACATTTTCATATGGGTTACTGTTTAGCTTTTATGATCAGTACCAGAGGTCATAGATTACTTTCCTTTTCATTTTTACATAACTGAGATGATGCAAATTTGAGCCTCTGCTGAAAGACTGAGCTGTAACCTTATCAGGGAGGCCATGTCAAATACTTACAAGAGGAGTATAAAGGTTAATGTGAATTAGGTCCAAGAGGCTAAAATTGAATAGTTTAACACTCTGGGAAATGCTTTTCCTCTTTCTTGCAGTGATGCTGGAAACCACTTTATATCCTTTAACGTTACTGTAAACATGAAGCTACAGCCAGCATCCAGTTAGCTTAACTTAGCTTAGCATAAAGACTTGAAGCAGCTAGCTTGGCTCTGCTCTGCTCTGGAAATAAAATCCACCTACCAACGCCTAAAGCCCACTAAACAAGTTTTATCTTGTTTGTTTGATCCGTGCAAAAACTGAAATGGAAAGTGGCCATGTTGTGGTTTTACAGGCAGTTATGAGCCAGGCTGTTTGTAGCCAGGAGCAGTGATTCTCCAGTGGTTTATCATCACTGGGGAGGGTGTTGCTAGGCAACCAGCAGAGAGACCAGCCGAGTGTTGCCAACATGGCGACTTTCTCGCCAGATTTAGAGACTTTTCAGACCCTCTCAGTGAATTTATTTATAAAAAGAGACTAGCGGCAGATTTAGCGACTTCTTCAGATGAAAAAGAGAGAGATGTATTGTATTGTAATTTATTTCCATGCATACTGCGCGATTCACGGCTCTTCCGCCATGCGCGCGGGGTCTCTCCCACCATTTCCCATAGGTGTGCGTCATAATAACAACGGTCTCTCCTTCGGGGACACACATAAGCGAAATTAACATTGGCAAATATTCGTCTCCTGTTCACCAATATTCAGTGCGAGCACAGAGGCGGATAAAACATTCACTTCCGGTGGCAAAGCAAGTAAGTAGAGCTGAACTACAAAGTCGTCCTGCGTGTGTGTGTGTGGGAGACATAGGAAGTAACCTTGTTTAACCAGTTGATATGTTATGGTACTGGCCACAACAAATACAATTTGCCACTCATGGGAGTTGCTGCCTGGCTGGCAGTGAGTTGGGAGATGGGCATGGTATGTGAGGAAATGGAAAGTGTACCAAAATCATCATATTTTGCTTTAGTTATTAACAAGATAGCTAACATTAGCTAGCAAGCTAGTTTTGCATGTGTATCACATCAGGCCATGTAATGCCCCCGTCAGCACCAATATCGGCAGTTGACGCTTACTTGCATTCACTCGTACAGTACAGGCCAAAAGTTTGGACACACCTTCTCATTCAATGCGTTTTCTTTATTTTCATGACTATTTACATTGTAGATTCTCACTGAAGGCATCAAAACTATGAATGAACACATGTGGAGTTATGTACTTAACAAAAAAAGGTGAAATAACTGAAAACATGTTTTATATTCTAGTTTCTTCAAAATAGCCACCCTTTGCTCTGATTACTGCTTTGCACACTCTTGGCATTCTCTCCATGAGCTTCAAGAGGTAGTCACCTGAAATGGTTTCCACTTCACAGGTGTGCCTTATCAGGGTTAATTAGTGGAATTTCTTGCTTTATCAATGGGGTTGAGACCATCAGTTGTGTTGTGCAGAAGTCAGGTTAATACACAGCCGACAGCCCTATTGGACAACTGTTAAAATTCATATTATGGCAAGAACCAATCAGCTAACTAAAGAAAAACGAGTGGCCATCATTACTTTAAGAAATGAAGGTCAGTCAGTCCGGAAAATTGCAAAAACTTTAAATGTGTCCCCAAGTGGAGTCGCAAAAACCATCAAGCGCTACAACCAAACTGGCACACATGAGGACCGACCCAGGAAAGGAAGACCAAGAGTCACCTCTGCTTCTGAGGATAAGTTCATCCGAGTCACCAGCCTCAGAAATCGCAAGTTAACAGCAGCTCAGATCAGAGACCAGATGAATGCCACACAGAGTTCTAGCAGCAGACCCATCTCTAGAACAACTGTTAAGAGGAGACTGCGCGAATCAGGCCTTCATGGTCAAATAGCTGCTAGGAAACCACTGCTAAGGAGAGGCAACAAGCAGAAGAGATTTGTTTGGGCCAAGAAACACAAGGAATGGACATTAGACCAGTGGAAATCTGTGCTTTGGTCTGATGAGTCCAAATTTGAGATCTTTGGTTCCAACCGCCGTGTCTTATTATTATTTCACCTTTTTTTGTTAAGTACATAACTCCACATGTGTTCATTCATAGTTTTGATGCCTTCAGTGAGAATCTACAATGTAAATAGTCATGAAAATAAAGAAAACGCATTGAATGAGAAGGTGTGTCCAAACTTTTGGCCTGTACTGTATAACAGTGAGCAAAATAAACACTGGTGAATATTTGCTTCACGTTCACTTCCATTCAGTGTAGAGGCCCTGACACACCAAGTCAATGTTGGCCGTCGGTCAAAGTTGGGCTATTGGTGAGCGCCTGCCACCCTTGTTGGTGCGGTGTGTCCCGCACTGTTGGCCCTCATCAGTGCTAGTAGGCTTTTCCCCACTGATTCAGCAAGTTGAATCAGCGTCGGCAACAGTCAGTGAATGAAATCACTTACTGTTAGTTCAGCTCAGCACACAACAAGAGAGGTGAAAGTGAGGAATGTAAACAAAAAGCTAAAGTAAAGATAGAGTGAGTCCAAAACAACCTTCTTGTATGAAGTAAGATTGTTTTTCTTAGTCATTGAGCTCTTCAACAGAAACATTTCCTGATGGTTTGTGTTATTGTTCACTGGTGAGCAGTAAATATGCTCTGTTCTTTCAACACTGGATCACGTAACTAGCATCAATACTAGTCTTCCAGTTTCCCATTTTGAATGGTGATTACAGACGACGGTCATCTGCTGATATGAACGGGGTATGTCCTCTCACACAGGCGCAGAACATATGTGCTTGCTGGCCATTGGTTTGGAGTGTTTATGTGCAATTTTCTGTTGAAACACAGCCACGTGGGGCAACGCAGCAGGGGCTGTCATTGCCACTAGTTCTCTGATGTCAGTTTGGTGTCTCTGAGCCTTTAGTGAAGGGGTGAATAAAATATTTGCTTCAGGTGGCAAAGCAAATTTGAACCTTTTAATTGCATGGAGTTCAACTTTGGTGAACTTTGATTGGCAAAGTTAGGAGGTCAGCTATGTGTGGAGGAGACATTGATTGTTGCCATGTTTAACCAGCTGATATTGTATGATAATGTACGTGAAAAAACAAACTACCCATCACAGCTGACATTACCCACATTCAGCATGAATACTGCCTCGGCAGGTGATGGTCACTTGCCTCCATTTGCCAATGTGTGACTGTACCCTTAAGCCAGGCAGTAGCTGCAGGGACATGCAGGAGGTGTCAAGAGGAGACGCTTGGAGATGCTGCTTGCTGTGGGAGTTCAGTCATAGTGAGTTTCCATGATTATATTGACTCTTTGGCTCTCTGAACTGGAAACACAAGACTATGGTGCACTATAGTATGAGCACCATAGCATGCATGTCATTCTCATGTTTTGTTGAAGATTTTTCTGTTTAATTTTATTCAGCCAAGTTTAAATGCTTCCTTGAATGATTGATAATGTCATAAATATGCAAATAAGCATATGATGTCATCTGGTAGCAATCTTTGGAGCTACTGCTAGCTACTTTCATTGGTTAACTGTTGGCAACACTGCCCTAAAATACCATAACTTGTCCTTTTTTACACAGGCTGGTTGGTGGATATTGTTTCCATTTGACAGAGCCAGGCTAGCTGTGTCCCCCAATTTCAGTCTTCAGTCTTTATGCTAAGCTAAGCTAACAGGCTGTAGCTTCTTTATTTATTGTACATACATGAGAATGAAATCCATCTCCTGATTTACCTTCAGCAAGACAATACTTAACCGTGTTTACCAAGGTGTCAAACTACCACTTTAAGGCTCTACTTTCAATTCTGTCTTCAGCTACAAGCCCTCTGACACTTGTAATTTTTAAGAAAATGATTTTTTCTTAGGAGCTTGCAAACAAACAATTACCCCTAATTTCCCACTGATAAATGGCTGTAGTATTTAGCTGGTAAACACATGCTCAGCAGTTTAGAGCTGAAATTTATAAAGACATAACGGATGATTAACCCTATTGACTTTCTTCTGTTGCTCGAAAATTGACACATTTTGCTCCTGTATTAAGTCAGCACATGGTAACAGCCCTTTGGCTCTGAGCCCTTCACAATAAAAGGCTGTTTGCACTGAATTTACTATCTCTGAACAGATTTCCATCTCTTCCACGCACAGCGGCATCTGCCTATGTGCTCTAAAGGTTAAAACCCCCGTGGGATGGCACTCCACCTCTCTATCTGGGGTTTTGCTGACCCAGAATCCAAGACAAACATGCATGCTGTCACTGATCAATTTGCGCAGAAGCGTAGAGGAAAGGATGCCGACCAGATGAGGTACTCTCACCAGTATGTTTTTGTGATATGGCCTCAAGGTGTGACACTTTAAATTGATTTTGCCTCTACATCTATTTCCTGCCTGCTCTGAACAGAAACATAATGGCAAGACTGCTGGTGATATTTGATGTTTGTATCTATATCTGGGCCAACAGGCCCCTCCTGATGGGTTTTTAATATGTTTATTCTAATCTGACACACATCCTTCTGCTGTGCTGACTCCCGCTCTGCTGAGTCCACATAGAATATAACACAGTGAGAAATTGAGCTATATATAAATGTTTATGCATATGCTGGAGTAGCAGTTTTCAAAATGTAGGCGCACACACGCTTTTTTTCCCTCAGACTGTATTTGTGCTCCTTGTCTGCATGTAAATAACCATTGGCAAGACTTCAAATAGCTGTGCATGCATATGTTGGTGGAAATATATTCTATTGCCAATGTTTTCCAACCTGCTGCATTGTTTCCACCGTGGACTCCAGCTGCTCTCGCTTGGACAGCTCCTCCTCCCATCTGCAACACAGAGCACAGAGTTAGGTCAGTTACCACTGGGCCCTGTCCCCTGGGGGCCACTAGACAGGTTAATGGTACTTTTGTGGGGATAATACTCCCAACTCCGATTACAAAATGCCCTTGACAGTGAGGGCTCACACCCACTATCTTCCCCCTTTTTCCAATCTTTTGTCTACTTCCTCTTTTGTGTGGTCATCTTTACAACCCCGCTGCATCAATAAAAGACAATAAAGAGAGAATGGAGTTTTATCCTTCTCAAAAACACAACAACTATTGCTCATGAATTGTTTTTGAACCTTTGAGTGACTGTAGAGGGATATGTGAGCTGTAACACACCCAAAAGGGTGGAGTACCTCTGCTGCAGCCCAAATTCCTTCACGCTAACTGCTTCATTTCTCATAAGGTCTCAGGAGTGAGTTATGAGATCTCAGTGATGACACTTCAAAGCAAATGAAAATATTTAGTCATGCTATTGACATAAAACAAACACAGATAAAGCTTGACATGTACCAACACCTCCAACCTTTGTGCAAAGCCATTAGTAGCCTTGTAATTTCAATATTTACTGAAGATAAGCGAGACTGAGATATTCACTACATCATAGCTGCCAGTTGGGCAGATATGTCAGACTAAACCAAGCAGCTCCTATTATTCGTTTAGTCAAACTGCAAGCAATATAAGATCCATTCATTCATTCAAACCTTGAGTTAAGCCTGAAAATCATTGAGGTTTCCCTCATTTGTAGTGATGTCGAGACACAGAAAAATACAGAGGACAATACTCAGTCAAAACAACTGCACACTGAGGTGAAGTGTTCAAGATTGTTGTCTTCATTGTCCTGGGGTAGTGGGCAAGTTGATCTTTAGAATGTGTTGTAGGTGTTGATATTGCAGATAGGATCACCCAAGATGAACTCTGAAAACATACAAAGTGGTGGCAAAGTGCAGCCTGAGGTCAAGCTGCCATGCATTGTCTGTAGAAAGCTGCAGCGGCTGCTTTGAGCTGCCAATGTTTGATTCTGCAGCTAAATGTGGCCAAACTAAAACTTGGGGTTAGTTTAACTTTTAGCTACAAAATGTAGCTAGGGCAGTGATTCCCAACTGGTTCAGTCAGGGTGTCCAGATTTCTCCTTAGTCATTTGTTCAAGGTCAGTTCAATTTAAATTAGCATCATACTTGGCCATGTCATTAAGCTAGCTTGCTGTCTCTGTCATGTAGCTGTCTGTTAGTCACTCACTCTACAGCAGGATATGGCACTTAAAGTAAAGGCACTGTGCTGGAAATTCACTGTACTTCAAAATAAAGTGTTTTTTTTTTACAAACTGGACACGTTTGTGAGTCACTTGCGGTCCATTGAAAATGGACCCAAGACCCACTCTTGGACCAGAACCCACCAGTTGGGAACCACTGAGCTAGAGCACAACTACAGCCTCTCAGTAAACGTCCTAAAAGTCCTGTGATCCTGGGTGCATGTTGACCTATGTTACGGAGACTTTCTTCCCGCCTGAAACACATGAACTGTGCCGCTGCTTGGTGTGGTTTCGGCGAAGAGTCCACAGCAATGCTAGCAGCTCTGAGAGGCTGTACTTCGAGGTGCTTTGAGTTCAAAGTTAATGTCACATTGACAATGCTAAAATGTAGGCTTAGTCGGTGTTAAGTTTTTCATACCTTTGTACCTTTCTAACATTTCAAAGGGGTATGCAGTATTTAACGTTATTTGTATAAAAACATAAAATCATTGTAGCCCATAGATTTCTCAAAATCAACCTTATATGCGTCCAGTTAGATGTGAAAACATGCTGTTTAGCCATGGTGTCTCTCTCTGGTGTTGCTGGCTGGCTTTTTAATAGTCCTGTAAGCTTATCCCCACCACTCACAATCACTATCTTTCTTACCTCAGCTGCCAGTATCACCAGTAGAGACTGACCTCTGGTGGTTTGTGCTGTGCACTACATCACTACACCAAAATACAGCATGGTTGTATCAGTTTAATAGAAACAGGAGCACCTGTGTTTTTGATAGTATTTAAAATCATACCTTTGGGGTTATTAAATACCCTGGTATATTGTAGTACTGTGATACCATCCAAGCCTACCCATAAGTGCTTTACCTACGCTTAGCACTTAAGATTACCATGACCTGGATGACTAAGAATCTTCACAGACACATCCAAGCTGACTAAAATGCTGATGTTAAGAAGGTGTAATGTTCACTATGTTCACCATCTTCGTTTAGTGTGTTAGCATGCTGTAGCAGCAGTGCAGCTGAGGCTGATGGGAATGTCAGGGATCACAAAAGTGATTACATGTCATCCTGAGGGGGGCATGAATGTGCAAACCAAATGTCACAGCAATCAATCCCATAGTTGTCGAGATATTTCAGTCTGTATCAAAGCGGTGGGCTGACCGACCAACCGACTGACCGAACATGCCGCTAGCACGGCTAAAAATAAAGTGCCAGACTCCCCTCTGAGCTACAAGCTATTATAAGCAACACAGCTCTCTTCCCCTCTCCTGGTGGACCATATCACTCAGCTGCACCATGGCAGCTATGTAAAAACAAAATTAGGAGGCTCTTAAATTGCCTCTCAGTATGGACTGCACAGAGGAAACAGAACACACTGCATCAGTCAGTTCAGCACGCTCCTAATACACACTCATCCTGTTCCCTGAGATATGAGACAGCAGTCATGCTGAGTCACGGACGCTTCCCAAAAGAGAGTTTGAGGTTCAGAATGGAAAGGGAGCTCATTCAGAGATATGAAGTCACCACACAGCGACAGACAGCCATGTGAGGATGAGCCACTGTGGGAAATGTGGAGGATATAACCAGAGCGGGGTTTCTGTGTGTGTGTGAGAGACTGGGTGAGCCAGTGGGAAGATTTGTGTGTACTGGTGTAAGCAGCACATGCTTGACCATCTATATGTTTACTGTAAGGGAGAAAGCTGACATCTGATGAGCACTGCTGCATTCTGGGACATTGCTGAGGCCTCTACCATGGAGGAACACACAAACACAGCCAGAAGTCACTTTGGTATCACAAACATGCGTCACCAGAGGCTCACTTTGTCAACAAGAAGCAGCCTTGTTTCCATTCAGAACCCACTTGAATGTACACTGTCTAATTAGGGAGAAGTATTCCTCGGCAGGGCGTGCCAGCTCGCACTGTGATTGAAGCCTTGTTCTAAAAACGCTGGCAGAGCTGCTTTACTGTGTCCACAACACTCTGCCTGTCTGCCGCAGGATGTCGGCTGAGGTCGTCAGAGTTCACAACTGCATCCTCTGCAGACACAAACCAGTGTGTCACAGGCATCACTCATGTTGTCACTTCCTGACGAAACCACCACGTCCATTTCTTCAGTACCACCGGTGATAACTGGATGATTAAATCGACCTACTGACGGAGGGAAAGCCTCTTTGTGTCAACACTATGTCAAGGCCATTTATGTCATCTATCAGAGCTAATGACAGAGCTAAGCAGTGACTGCTTCCACATTATTTGGAGCTGCTACAACTCAGCAATCCATAAAAGTCTAATGGAAAACCACGACTGTTCTCAAGCATCCAGATAAAAATGGCTTATCCAAACAAAGATGACACGACCGCATCGCAAAACTATTCTATCTATCTGGCCTGTCTGCCGTGGCTGTGGTTCTGGTTTTCCTGTACCTTTTGGCGTGACTCAGTCAAATGAACACACCCGGAGTCTCCTTACAAGGACAAAGACAGCAGGAGGGTTGGAGCCTGTGTCAACTCACAGACATCTGTTTACCTCCACACACATCCTCTGCATTCTTGCTCTAATAAATCAAAAACGAACCATGCGGTGTTACAGATGTGTTAGCTCGGCCTGCCAGGCCAACTGAAATTGCTGCAATAAAATGTGGTTTCTTTTCCATCTTGGGGAGGCAACAATAAACTAAAATGGATAGTGAGCAAAGCCAAAATTTAATTATGGAGGTTTTTAAGAGCTACATAAAGATACTATTTAATTTTCATTGAGAAAAGAAAAGACCTTGAAATTAAAATGCATTAAAATGTCTAAAACAACTAGACCAGTGTTATATGTTTTGGTGAGTTGTGTATTGACATTTTCTCAAAAGTTTCTAATAATATTCAATCCCAGAGATATCTCTAATTTTAATCAAGGACACGGTCCGTGTCAATGACGTCATTTTAAGACACATTTTTACATTAGACTTTTAAGATTTTGTCGTTTTTAAAGGTCCAGTGTATCAGATTTAGGGGGATATAATGTCAAAAATGGGACTTATTATAATAAGTATGTTCTCTTTAGTATATAATCACCTGAAAATAAGTACTGTCCTGTTTTCGTTACCTTAGAATGAGCCATTTATATTTATATAAATGATCCTATACAAACGGATCCTCGTCCACGGACTCTGCCATGTTCCACTGCCATGTTTCTACAGCACCAGAACGGATAAACCCAAAAGTGTCTCTAGAGAGTACCATTCACGTTATTGCGAGTTAACCACCATAGTTAGCAACCCCTCCGCGACATGCAGCATCAGAAAAACGCTGAATTTATGATGTGAAACTGCTTTATTCAGTGTCTTTATAGCAGTTTAAATCACCCGTTTTGTTTGTTTTGGAGAGGAAGAGACCTCAACGGATAACTGGACTCCCAGTAAAAAACACTGACAATTAACACTGCAGGAATCCTAACTGGGAGTTCATGCTTGACACGTGGGATTGAGCTGGTTGCAATCTGCAATCCTCACTGTTAGATGCCACTAAATCCTACACACTGCTTTTCTAACTATATATTCTAACCAGACATCTGGATCTTAAATTATCAGAGAAACAAGCTGAGCTAACGTTATCGGCAGCTTGGCTCCAGCCCCTGCCGTGCCGAACAGCGTCAGGGAAACACTGATTTGTACAGTACAACTGCTTCATTTAGTGTGTTTTGCAGTTTTTAAAAATCTCCTGAACCATGAACACTGGAACAATCCTTATTGTGAGAAAATGCTGCTT